ACTAATAAATTCATAAATCACGAACATATTCCTAATTTATTACTGCAACTTAAACTTATCAAGAGTAGGTATTAAAAACTTACTTTTTGGACAAATATTCACTAATCGATTTCCCGCGGAAAAGAGAGCAACAACATATTAGGGAGAAGTTAGAGAGAGAGAGAGTAAAATGGTAAAAGTAAAAATTTTCGGGGTATTTATAGATTATAATGTATCATGCTTGGTTTAGGTGTCACTGATCACACCTAAATTAGGCGTGACCTATCAGAAAGTGATGCCTCATTTGGGTGTGTCACACTGCAATACACGTGTAAATATTTTAAAAAGAGCAATAAATTCGTATTTATTTATTTAAATTACTATAAAATATTTTTTTAACCCTTTTTTTAACACACTTTAGCATTAAAAATATATTATATTGATTCTATTAAATAATTTGGGTTTAATTTTGTCGATAGGATCTTTGTCTAGCTTGTTTTATTTAATTTTTAAAAATTCCTAAATTTATAGGTGGAGTTGTTGGGTGATGTGTCATGACATGAGTTGTACAACTATTAAGGTGGCTGCATTTTCCTATAATTCTGTATCTGTCGTTGATTCATTATTTCTTATTAAACTCTAACCACTACATATCTCTTTGTCAGTTGGGCTTATATCTTTTTTTTTATGAATTTAATATTTGTATTTTTAAAAGATATAAATTCATACCATTTTATGTAAGAGAAAAATACAATTATGAAAATTATGAGAGAAAAATTGGATATTTTTTAAAATTAAATTTCAAATAAAAAATATTAGATTATACTTTTCTCTCACTTAAAATGACATAATTATATATTCTTTAAAAGGATAAATATTTTTCATTTTAAAAAAACAATTTATTTCTTAAAAGAAGATGATAGTACGATTACATGTAGGTAGGTTACATATTTCTCTTTTTTTGTTTTGGAAACAGATATTTCTCTTTAAAAATCACCAATAAAAAGGTTTATCATTATAAAAGGATTAATGTGCGTGTTTGAAAAAAGTTTTTTAAAAATAAATTTATTCCCGTTTGCTAACTTACAAGGAAAAGCACTGTAACTTTTCTCACCTCAAGGAAAAGCACCCTCATCGAATTTGTTGCAGCCTTGCAGGTCACAATCTGATTTTTCTCCTAAAAAGTAAATACCAGATTCACGGTTCAATTTGCCTTTAATAATCAATATTATGTGGACGTGACCCCACAAGAAATTCTGGCACGTGGTTTTACTTCGATAAAAATTAAAGAATATGCATTCCATGATGAGACAAGTAATATCAGACTTATATCTTTAAAGAAGAGTCACTCAAAGTTATAATTTTTATGGAACACCTAATTTAATATAATCTACTTAAACACCTCACCCTAATGACTTCAAAATTATAAATTTTAGAATAAGGTTATCATGCAAAAAAGGTTCTTAGAATATTGAAAGTTTGAAACCAAACAATCACATATGTAATCACATAATAGAAAATAAATAATTAAAAAACTAACGCAAAATATAAATTTATCTTGATTCATTCAATATAAATTATATTCAATAATATTTTACTATACTTTTTTTTACTGTACTCATTTTAAAGTATTCAATTTATAAAAAAAATATAAATAAGTTTATAAATCTTAAGTAATGACCTAAACTCAAACTATTAAAAAAGAAAAAAAAATTCCAAAATTCACAAGAGTACGAGGCCTTTGCAGTCTCAATAGCGCTGCCCCTTGCACCCTTGTCCGAGTAGTTCCTGACTTCCTGCCGACCTTCGCTTGCTCACCAAAAAAATGAAATTTCTGTTAATTTTCTCTACATCCTACCAACAATTGCTGGTCAAACAGAAATAAGATTTTGGAATTGACCGTGTTTACTTATTTATGTCTGTCTGTGATTGCCGCGAACTCTTTTATTACATAATCAATGTTTGTCAGTGGCGGAGCGAGCACATTAGTTAAGCTAGGGTCAATAAAAATTTAGGCAGGGTATAATATTAAATATTATTCAAAAATTTAGCTACGGTTATTTAAACATATTAAAGATGTGACTAATTTTCAAATATAAGTTAGGGCCAAGACCCTACCCACGTATCATGTGGCTTCGCCACTCATGGTAATTAAAATCTCGATTTAAATCTGCGATTTTATGATTTCACTATTTTTTTAATCAAAATGATTTTATCAAAATTTCAAACGCTTTTACAATTTTATGATTTTTTTCTTACGTTAGAATTTTACGTTTTACGATTTTTTATTCTTCTTCTGATTTTGGATAAAATCCTAATTTTAACTACCGTGCCGCCACTGATGTTTGTCATTTTAAACAGAAAAACCAGCTTGGAGTGGCCGGATCTTGGTGGCCTAGATAGTTTTTCGGTCTGAGCAACTCTGGATAACTTGGCGGGTTAAACGAAATCCGATTTAGACTGGTTGACCCTCTTTTTTTGGTAATTTTTTATTATTGTTGCGAACTCTTGAATTAAATCATGTTCGTATTTTGTGGTAAATATAATTAGAAAGTAAGGTGAAAATAAAAAGATATTTTAAATTAGTGCAGTTTTTTTGTATAAATTAGTTGGATCTTATAATGATATCAAGAAGTTAAGTGACGATAAATACTGACAGTCTCATCTCAACATTGGGCAATTTCTCCTTAGTATATATTTCATGATTATCAAGATTTAGTTTATCTGTATTATGTCAAGACACGAAAAGTGCATTTAACTTACATTACAATTATAATCCAATGTTCAGATATGGTTTAGAACTAAAAGTATATAATATCTGCTATCATTGAGAACCAATTTATTTTTTAAAACCTATTGATATTTGATAGTTTTCTTATATGAATTTTTAATATAAGTAATATATTTAGATTTTGTTAATATGTGAATAGTCAATTCAATTGGATGCGGTTGAACCAATAATTCAGTGATCCAATATTTCGATCGAGTCGATGATTGATCAGAGTTTTAAAATATTGATTTTAAATAACATAAGTTCTGTCCTTCTATAGACATATAGAGATGAAACTCATACTTCTATTTTTTCAATATAACTCACCTCTCTTTATATATATAAAATTACATTATTTATGTCGTTTAAAATGAAATACAATTTTCTCGATAATTAAAGAGCACGCAAGCAACACGAGGGAGTGTTGTTTTCCATTCTCACTTTATTGTGTAAGACCCTACTCCTTCTGTCCTCCAACTCATTAATTTCAATCCTAAACGTGAATTGCAACGCAACGATTTTATTTTTTAAACATTGCCATTGAAGGAAAATAGTCATCTCACGTCCAAATTGCACATTGTTTAGTGATGTTAAAATTTAATATTTATTTTTCTTTTCATTGATATTGATTGGGATAGACATACAATTTTGACATAATCAAATCATATAAAATTTTACAGAATAATATTTCTGCAATTAATACAGATAAATTATTTGCATTTATTCTTAAAGCGATGTCTTTTTGAGATTGAAAAATTAAATAATTATAATTATAAATATAAAGACTAAAATAAACTTGAAATAAATTAAAATTACAAAAATACCATAATTTTTTCTCAAAACAACATCGTATTATGTTTATTGCAGATAACTTATCTGCAGTAACTTTGAAAAAAAAACGAATCTAAAATTTTAATATTAGACTATCCACTCTCACCTTTAAAAAATTTAAACATGTTAAGACTTAAGACAAGCGAAACCCGCATGAATCACGACGCAATGATGATAAAAAATGTGCATTTTTTCATATTATTATTTATTACCTGTAAAAGAAAAAATAAATAACATTGATGATTAAATAATGCTCAATGATAACCAGTTAGTATATACGAGATCACAAACGAACAACGAAATTATAATTAATTCATTAATGGACTTACTCGTTTTAATAGTATTATACAATTAAAAATACGCGAAGCAGCTTAAATAATAGAGAAAAGTATTTGTCATTTTAAATGATATAAAGTTATGTCATTTTAATTTTTAAAAGAGAGATAGACACATAAAAATATTTTTTATTTAAAATTTAAATTAAAAAATCACTCACTTTCTTTTTTATGTTTTTTATTTTTAGTATCTATATCTCTATTAAAATGACATTATGTTATTTAAAATAATAAAAATGAAGCCCTAATAAGTAATAAAACCCTTGAAAGCTAAAGGTAAGGAAAGGCGTGCAGTGCCGGTCATAAAAAATCATCTAATCAGTGAACCATTTTTTCAAACCAACTCTCATTACCTAATTAGCCATGAGAGAGAAGAAAAGAAAAGAAACCGACCATGGCCCACTCAACATCTTTCTTTATCCAAGCTTTATGTGACACAATACCTGTTTAATGCTTACAGGTTACTATCAACCCAAAATAAGACACATTGAAAACAAACCCGTTCCTATCTAATTTCCTTGTCGTTTAACCATTAGACATTATCAAGTTGAAGCTGTGCTCCACTGCACGATTGCAGTCCCCACAACAACCACATGATAGAATCACTAAAATTCAATTTCGGTCTACAAGTACTAATAAATAAAATAGGCAAATAGCCATAAATGCAAGGACGGCTTCATAAATAGAACCTAGTATGACTTCAATTTTGGCGATCACTGCGTCTAGTCACTTGTCAAATGTCAAATGATGGTAATTCATTTTGGTAAATATAAAAATGTATGTTTGATTCTCTTTAATTTTAGTTGTGAAAAAAATTTAAAATCTTAATTTTAATATCTGTTTTGAATCAAATTAAAAGTGAAACAATGAACTTATTAGAATATTAAAATAAATAAATCAAATTACTAGTGAAACGAAAAATTATTAGAATATTAAAAAAAAAACGTGCAAGTCACAAAGAATCATCACGCTATACTGCACTGCACTGTAACCACCTTTGCTTGTGCTATACTCTAGAGAGTGGAACCGCTACTCTATCTCTCTCTAGCTTTCTCTCTCTTCGTATTTTTATTTTTATTTTCTGTTATACCTGCCGAACGGTTTCAGACAGATTGCAACAAACTAGAGAGAGAGAGAGAGAGGCACCGGGAAACACGGAACAGTGCCTGAGTGCCACGCGCTGCGATGCCGAATCCGGAGGCTCAACCTCACCAGCACCGGTCCAGGACTCGACCGTCCACGTCAGCGGCGGTTTCGGCTCGGACGGCGGTGCGGGATAGGGTCCCGCTGAGGCAGTTGCTTAGGGTGGCGTCGGTGGCCAGCGGGATTCAGTTTGGTTGGGCCTTGCAGCTGTCTCTGCTCACGCCGTATGTGCAGCAGCTTGGGATTCCTCATCAATGGGCCAGCATCATCTGGCTCTGCGGCCCAGTCTCTGGCCTCTTCGTTCAGCCCTTGGTGGGCCTCATGAGTGACCGGTGTACCAGCCGGTTCGGTCGCCGGAAACCGTTCATCTTGGTCGGGGCTGCATCGATCGTCGTCGCCGTTATCATAATCGGTTACGCCGCTGACATCGGATGGTGGTTTGGCGACACAGAGAGTAACCGGCCTTGGGCCATAACCTTCTTCGTTATCGGATTTTGGATTCTCGATGTGGCTAACAACGTCACTCAAGGTCCTTGTAGAGCTTTGCTCGCTGATCTCACTAGTAAGCTCTTTCTTCTTTTTCTTCTCCTCCCTCAGGTTATTAAATTTGCAATCCCTGATTGATTTTACATAGATGCAATTTCTAATATAATTCAACGAAAATCAAGCTATCTTGCAGTTGACTGGTTTACTGAACTATGACTATATTCAGTTATGAGTATTTACTATATTGACTAGAATTTACCGAACCTTCTTTCTTGAATTATTTACTAAATAGTAAATTTGATGTTCGATTTGGAAAAAAGTAGTGTGAGCTTTTCGTATGGATTAGCAACTCGATAATTCTTGTTTGTTACATAGAATGCAATGATTAAATCATGTCATATGATGTCAAGGATTATCTAGAGAAGTATAAGGCTGGCACGAAGTTGATTTTTTTGGGGTCAAAATTGTAAAAAAGGAGCTATTTTGGAAAAATAAAATAAACATTGAAGTTGTTATGGATATGAATATGATATCCCAACTACCTAGTAGAATATCTAACCAGATATAGAGTCACCAACATCTCAACAACTCTGAACAGCCAAGGGCACAAGATGAGGATCACATCCCAACAGAAAGGGAGTTGAATCCTATCGCAATTGGGAGCTCAAAAGGCCCAAGCCTAGGAAGGTAATCCTATAAATAAGAGCTTAAAGACCCCAAGGTAAATTCATTCAACCTATCTACTAATAATGCCCACACTGTGCACACACCCACCCTTTGGCTATAAGTTGTGCGCAGTGATTGGGACCTCGGCTATAAGCCTAGTATACAGTTGATATACATTATCTCTGAGCGCATACCAACCGATATAGCAATACGGTCTATCCAGGACCTAATAGAAGTCTTGAAAAAATTAAGTATACTTTAGTTATTGAATAAATCCTCTCTCTGCATTCTTGTTGAGGAGGTGCTACCAGTTTCATTCTATGCCCCTGTTCATTCATGTAAGCTATTGAAGCTAGATTGATAGTTGGGTGCTTGCTTTGAAACTTATGGTTGTGGATGCTGTATCACTTTTTACTTTGGTTGCGGTCTAGCATTTTAATTGCTATGTATTTTTCTTTGATAGATAAAGAAACTAATGTCTATTGAAAACTAAACTTAATTTCTGCATAATCTTATATGTAAAATCAAAAGATGAAATAGAAAATCATGCATGAATAAGATTATCCAGTGATTAGCGCCAACTGCTAAGCATTTGAAAAAAAAACCATGGTTTTTTTATTATATTGAATGTGGGTACAATTGGTTTCTGTTTATAAGCTGTTTCCCGTAGTTTTGTTTGGTCATATTTAATGGAGCATATCACTTGTGAACTAAATAATTTTTAAGGATACAATACAACTACGGTTCATGCTTGGATTAAACCTTCTATTATATAGTCAATAGTCATTTATCTGCCAGAAGTTAGTTTAATTGTCAATTTGTTAGGATACGAGCTGCTTGATTAAGTTGTCAATAGTTTTTATAAGTTTCAATTTTTCAATCTCTGTTAGTATGGGGTTTAGTATTAATTTGGCATAGAGAAGTTTGGCTACTACCAATGTGTAGAATCAAGTTTTTAATCTTCTGCAACTTTGGCTGGTTGGAGGCTATTTACTTGTTTGGGGGTCCCTTTAGGTGGAGATCCTTGTATTTCTTCTTTTTAAGACCCTGTGATTAAGCACCGGATAAATTGAGATGTTCACTTTTTTATTTTGGGAAGTTATGCTACTCTTATTTGAGGATTTCTTAAATAAACCTTTTTTTTATTTTTTTATTTGGGTTCATCGACCATTAACTCCAACCAGTTTGGGATAAATGGGATGTTAATGTTGATGTTAAAGAGATATGGAAGGTATGCAAAAAGAAATACGAGGAAGAAAGAATTTATTTAGGCTTGTTTTCCCCTCATCCCTCATGACTAGTTATCTTTGTTTAGCATGGATTGCATAGAGGATTGAGTTTTTTTAGGTCAGGGATGGGAGAGAAAAAGAATTATGATTTGGTTATTTGGGACATTTGTTTGTAGGCCTAAAGGAGTCAAGGGTTTTGGTCTTGGTATGTTTTTTGATTCTATGTTTGGTAAATTATAATTGCATTCTCCTTGTCCAGGTTTTTAAGAGTATGTCTGGTTTATATCAGAGTGAGTGGGATGCTAAACTAGCAATCATTTCCACTCTTCCTTATGTCAGTCTCCCATTCTAAATTTGTACTATACCTAGGATTCAAACTTCTCTTGGAACCCTAAATTTGAAAAGCTACACATTTATATGTACATTACTCTGCTGCCAATCACATCTTGAATAGGATGTTGGATGTGGTTAAAGTATATGGATATGACCTAAGAGCTTGGAGTACTTTTTGTTATTAAATTTAGAGGATTTGACTAGTGTAATGAGGGAAATATCTGTTTTTAGACTTCCTAAGGGACAAATTTTAAAGCCTTTTTCTTCAGCACATAGTTCTGTTGCAAAGGAATCTCTTGGTGAAATGCAGAAAAGTGGGAGAGCTCTCTTGTTTTATTATTATTATTGTTGTTGTTGTTGTTGTTCTTATTATTATTATTATTATTATTATTATCATAATTGTATATATATATATATGTATGTATGTGTGTATTTATTTATTTATTTATTAGTTTTTGTTGCTTAAGGAGGATACCTTATCATCCTTTTTCTTTGTAATTCTTCTTTTCTGCCAATACAAACTCATTTATTTAAAAAAAAAAAAAAACTTGCTATCTATTCCATGAGTCCATAGTGTCTAATTCTAGCCTGAGATTGTTCAAGAGGTTTTTAAGATATATATAAGCTAGAGAGCATAACATACAAACATGACGTGAAAGTAATTAATCACAGGATGAAAACAAGGATGGTGAGGCCAAGGAGCATAGATGAAACGAAAATTGAAGGCTGTTATTTTAAGTGAGGAGGGGCTATGTACTTGAAATTATAAATATTTTATGAAATTTATGTAACAACAGTGAGTTCCCCTCTTTCCTCTTTAAGTTCTTAAGGAAAAATTGAATCTAGGGTACTCTTCTTATTTGAAAGAGGGGCTAAGGTAAAGGTAGCATTGATTCAAACCACCCCCTACTCCCGGTGGAACTTCACCCAATATTTGAAGGATTAATATCTTTTATTTGATGCGCTGGCTTAAAATTTTTGTTACAAACCCAAAAACAGAGTGATTTTTCAGAGAGAAAGAACTGAGAAAACAGTGAAGAGAGAAAAAGAAAGAATAGGTCTGTATGAATTATCTGTGTCACTATCGAAGTACAAAGGAGAGGATTCTTCTTCCAATGTTTCCCTTCAACAACTGAGCCACTGCTCTGTTTCCAAAACCAATAAATCTGAAGCCCCTCTTCTACTATTTAAGCTAAGTCCCTACTTTTAACAACTTTAATTGTCCAACCAGTTCTATAATTATGCTAAATTTCTAACTAACTACTCTCTGGGCCCTATCAATTTTGTATTTGAGGCCATACATATGATCTCTCCTTAGCTGGAGTGGGGTTCTGCATACCACCCAATATCTGACTCTGCTAAATGTTAAGAGAAGGAATAATCTCTCATTAAAAAGGTCTGATACATACACAAATTCTCATGCCTCGTGCTGCATTGTTATAGTGACTAATGTATTAGTTGCAATAGAATGGGTTGTCACTTGACTCCACAAACTTTTAAAATAGATGTTATTTCTGTAAATCTTTAAGTATATCTTGGAATGATTCTATTTCCTCTATTCATATTACTTGAGATTAAAGAATAATTGTATATTGAATTATAGTGTTACAATGTACAAGAGATCTCTATTTAAAAAGACTAAAAGACCTAATGGACTAAGCCCACTAAATACATTGAACTATTCTAATAACTACTCTGACACCCCCCTCAACTTGGAGCATATATATTGTAAGCACCCAGCTTGCCACAAATGTATTAAACCCGAGGACCCGTAAGAGCTTTAGTGAAGACATCCGCGAGTCGATCATTGGATTTGACAAATGCCGTTTTGATTTCTCCTAACTGAATTTTTCTCGAATGAAATGACAATCGATCTCTATATGTTTGGTTCTTTCATGAAATACGAGATTAGAGGATATATGTAGCTCAGCTTGATTGTCATAAATGAGAGTCATGGGCTAATTCTGTTCACATAGATGGAACTCTCGAATCAACTGCTTTAACCAGATTAGATTAGCTCGCAGGTAGCAACTCCCATTGCACGATACTCGGCCTTTGCACTAGATCGAGCAACAACAGTTTTTTTCTTACTTTTCCAAGAAATCAGGTTTCCTCCAAGGAAGACACAATAGCCTGAAGTAGAGTGTCTATCTGAGGGTGATTGGGCATCTGAATAACCACAAATTTCTGTACTTCCCTTATCTGAATATAATAAACCTTTCCCTGGTGCTCCTTTAATGTACCAGAAGATCCTCACAGCAGCATCCCAGTAAGAATCACGAGGAGAATCAAGGAGCTAACTAGCGACACTAACAACAAAAGAAATGTCCAGCTTAGTCACAATGAGATAATTGAGCTTCCTAATCAACCTCTGATAATGTCCAGGATCAGATAATGGCTCTCCCTGTCCAGGTAGTAATTTGATAGTAGGATCCATGGAACAAACGACTTACACCCTAACATACCATTCTCCTCTAGGATATCCAAGACATATTTCCTTTGACAGATAAACATGTCCTGTCTAGATTGTGCTACTTCGATTCCTAAGAAGTAACGAAGCTTACCAAGATCCTTTGTTTGAAATTGACTGAACAAATACTATTTTAACTGATGAATCCCAGCTTGATCACTTCCAGTGAGAATAATGTCGTCGTCATAGACTAACAGATAAATGCATTTGTCAGGAGATGTGAACCTATAAAACACAGAATGATCGACCTTATTGTGGGTTAAGCCAAAAGCCTGAACAACAGAACTGAAACGGCTGAACCAAGCCCGAGGAGACTGCTTAAGACCATATAAGGACTTACGAAGTCTGCACACCATCCCAGACTCTCCTTGAGAAACAAATCGGGGTGGTTGCTCCATGTAAATTTCTTCTTGTAAATCACCATGAAGAAAAACATTTTAATGTGGAGTTGAAGGAGTGGCCAATGACGAATAGCAGCGAGGGCAAGAAACATTCAAACAGACGCCATCTTAGCGACAAGAGAGAACGTGTCACTATAGTCAAGTCCGAAGATCTGAATAAAACTTTTGGCGACTAAGCGTGCCTTGAGACTGTCAACATGGCCATCAGGTCCAACCTTGACATTAAAGATCCCCTGACAACCAACAATAAACTTCTCTGGAGGAGCAGGAACAAGATTCCAAGTGTCATTGGAATGAAGAGCAGTCATCTCATTAAGCATCGCTTGGCGCCACCCTGGATGAGAAAGTGCTTCACCTATGGTCTTAGGAATAGAAACAAAAGAAAGACTAGAAACAAATGTGTAATGAGAAGTAGAAAGACTGTCATAGCTTAAAAAGGTATAAAGAGGATAAGAGTTACGAATAGTACGTATACTTTTTATTTGGGCAATGGGAAGAGCCTCTGGTGAAGGAGCCGAAGGGGAAGAGATGACTGGAGAAGGCGATGAGTCATCCAGGGCCAAGTCCGCAAGAGACATTTTCTGAAAACACTGATAAGTGAGAAAAGGGTGGTCTGCAGGGATAGAGGCAAAAGGTCTTTCCTCTGGGAGAGAGTCATCTGCAACCAGTAAAGACAAGTCAAAAAAAGGAACATGAAGAACCTGATCAACCTGTAACAACTGAGATGAGATAGAATGAAAGGGTTGTTGATCAAGGAAAGTGATATTAGCGGAAACAATATAACGCTTAAGATCAGGAGAATAACAACGATAACTCTTTTGAATACGAGAATAACCAAGAAAGACACACTTAAAGGCTTTGGATGTTAACTTGTCCTTACCAGGAGTGAGATCATGAATAAAATAAGTACAAGCAATGACATGTGGAGTTAGAGAATAAAGAGAAGCATCTGGAAACAATAAATTATGAAGAATGTCATTGTTGAAGGCATGCGATTGATGAGAAAACAAGAAATAAGTACAGCGTCCGCCTAAAAGTGAAGGGGAACATGCATATCAATAAGGGTATTGGTAGTTTCAATGAGATTTCTGTTTTTACATTCAGCTACCCCATTTTGTTGTGGAGTATGAGGACAAGTGGTTTGATGTAAAGTACCTTGTGTAGCCAGGAAACTAGAAACATTAATTGAAACATATTCTTTAGCATTATCACTACGTAGAATACGAATAGAAACACCAAATTTAGTATGAATCTCCGCAGAAAACTTTTTATAAATGGAAAATAACTCAGAACAATTTTTCATTAAATAAATCCAAGTACAATGGGAATAATCATCAATAAAGGTAACAAAATACTGAAAACCTAGAACAGACAAAGTACGACTTGGACCCCAAATGTCGGAATGAACAAGAGAAAAAGGATCATCAACTCGTTTATTGACTCGACTGGCAAAGGAGGAGCGTGTACGCTTCCTTTACTGACACAACACACAATCTAAAGACTGAAGACCGGATAAAAGAGGAACCATCTTCTACAACTTCGAAAGACTTGGATGACCAAGGCGACTGTGGATAAGTTGTGGAGATTCTGTGAGAGAGCATGCCACTGAAGGATGAGGCACAACCAGATAGTAAAGCCCCCGTGACTCACGACCCACTCCAATCATCTTCCTCGTACCCGAATCCTGCATAGAAACAGAATGTTTAGAGAAAGTAATGGTGCAAGTGAGAGAGTGGACCAATTTACTAATAGAAATTAAGTTATAAGGGATGCCAGGAATGTAATAAACAAATGTCAAGGTCAAGGCAGAGGTTGGACGAGCTTGTCCAATCCCACGTACTGAGGCTTTCGTTCCATTAGCAAGGGTAAAAGAAGGTAAATGATCAGAATAGGTAAGAGATGTAAAGAGTTCCTTATTACCACAAAGATGATCAGTAGCACCTGTGTCAAATATCCAAGAGCCAAGTGATGTAGAATGAGAAACACAAGCAACGGGATTAACAGTATTTGGAGCGGAAGACTGAGATTGAGGAGAAGCCTTCCTGAGAAGAGTCTGGAGTGCAACATAGTTTGCAGGTGAGAGAGAAACTGAACCAAAGGATGCAGTGTCTGACTGAGCTATATTCGCAGCAAAAGATGGTGAGTTAACCTCTGAGAGATCAGGGGACGATGCTACCATTAAGGACAAAATATAAAAGCCATAAACGAAGACAAACGATAGTCAATCAAGAAGAAACATGCGTCGAAAGTGAGAAAAAAAAAAAGCACAAATCCGGAAAGAGGAGGAAAAACTGAGCTAGTCTATCCAAGAACGACCAGAAAAGGACGCCGGAACAGTGCACACCCGCAGGTGAAGCTGGCGCGTGAGCACCATGCGCAAGGAGAAGTAGCCGCGTGTGAGGGCTCGTAGGGACTCCTCTGATGATAGGTCTTCCACAGACTTGGTCGCCGGAGAGTGAAGACTCTGATCGAAGGCTTCCCGATTGAAAACAACGCCAGAACAGTACCCCAGTTGCTGTGAACAGTGACGACCGGTGGTTCTGGCGGTGACCGGTGGTTCTGACGGTTGAAGAAACAAGATGGAAGGACGCACGACATAGAGGATGTGCCGAAGGGACACACGACTGATGAAGACTTGCAGGAAGAACGCACGACAAAGTAAAAGAGAACAGCCAAGCAGTGGACTTAGGGTTTTAGCGGAAGCGGATCTCTAGAACAAATAGCTCTGGTACCAACTTGAGATTAAAGAATAATTATATATTGAATAATAGTGTGTTACAATATACAAGAGTTCTCTATTTAAAGAGACTAAAAGATCTAATGGGCTAAGCCCACTATATACACTAAACTATTCTAATAACTACTCTAACAATATTCATCATCAAGGTTTTCATTAGAAACAGAAGTAGGTCATGCGAAGTCTGGAATAAGAAGAATTGAGCCTGACATATTGGAGAATATGAGAAACACATTGATTATACCAAATTTTTGGCAGAAAATTTTCTTCTATCCCATGTCTGCTAAATGGTAGGATGGGGGAAAAGCTTGAGCCACTGAAACTTTTTATTCCAAAAAATTGGATAAAATGATCCCATTTAAAAGGTGGGGTGTTGGGGTTTCATTTGCAAGGTATGGGACTTGGAGTCCCACATTGGTTGTATGGGCAACTAATGTGGGGGTTTATAAGGCCTTGGACACTCTTACCCTTTGAGCTAGCTTTTGGGGTGGTGCATCTCAAGGTCTCATCAAATGGTATCAGAGCATCCATCACGTGGGGTTGTGCGTGGGGGCCACGCACTAGGGAAGCGTGGTGGAATGTTGGGGTTCCATTTGCAAGGTATGGGACTTGGAGTCCCACATTGGTTGTATGGACAACTAATGTGGGGGTTTATAAGGCTTTGGGCACTCCCACCCTTTGAGCTCGCTTTTGGGGTGGTGCATTTCAAGGTATCATCATGGGGTTTAAGCATGTTAATTGAAAATGAATTAGTTCTGCATCGATTGACACCAAAGGTCCTCTGTCCTAATGATCTTCTAATTGATATTTGCTGTTGAATACATTTCTCAATTAAATTAGAAGTATATGTTATTTTCATCATATCTTAAACCAAAATTGGTTTGCAAAGTTGACCTAGATGTCTGAATAAATTTTATGAGACGTTATCTGCTTTTCTATGTCTCAGGAATTCTATCTATGACTTTAGAAGTATAAAATGCTCATTTAGAAGAGAGAGAGGACCACTGTTTTCTTTGTGATAAAAATGAAGAAGGCGCATTAAGGATAGATTTTGTCAGTCATAGTTGTTATAAAAATGAAAGTGATCAATTTGGAAAGAAAACAAGATATTGATGCTCCTTTTCATTCTTTTCTTTATCTTTTTCTTCTTTGGAATGTTAGGCAAGGATGCTAGAAGGACACGTGTTGCAAATGCTTATTTCTCCCTGTGTATGGCTATTGGTAACATTCTTGGCTATGCAACTGGATCATACAGCGGTTGGTACAAGATTTTTACTTTCACGCTTAACCCTGCGTGCACTATTAGTTGTGCAAATCTCAAGTCTGCTTTCTTTCTTGACATTGCTTTCATTGCGGTAACCACATATATCAGCATCACGGCAGCTCATGAAGTGCCTCTAAATTCAAGTGGGGCAGCCCATGCTGAAGAAGGGGCAGGGGAGTCAGGTAGTGCAGAAGAAGCTTTCATGTGGGAACTATTTGGGACATTCAGATATTTCTCAACTCCTATTTGGATAATACTGTCTGTTACTGCTCTTACATGGATTGGGTGGTTCCCATTTATTCTCTTTGATACTGATTGGATGGGTCGAGAGATTTATGGCGGTGATCCAAATGTAGGCCTTACTTATGATGCTGGAGTTAGAATGGGAGCTCTTGGTTTATTGCTTAATTCAGTAGTTCTTGGAATAACATCATTGCTCATGGAGCGGCTATGCAGGAAGCGAGGGGCTGGTTTTATATGGGGAATTTCAAATATTCTAATGGCTTTTTGCTTTCTTGCAATACTAGTAGTAACCTATGTGGCAAATAACATTGGCTATGTAGGCAAAGACCCACCACCAACTGGCATTGTGATAGCTGCGTTGGTAATCTTCACCATTCTTGGATTTCCATTGGCAGTAAGTTGCTCTACTCTACTACTAAAAGTATATTGTTCCTTTCCTGTCATTATCGAAGGCAGCCTTTATGTCTGTTATGTCCACTAAAACTAAGGCTCAAATTCTGTTGTCTTGCATTCTTTTTGAAATAGTAGTGACTAATGCATGTGAATTGTATTTATTTACTCGCTCTTGGCTGCTTAATCTCCTTAGCTCATGACATCTTGTATAACCTCTCTCTCTTTTTTTTGGTTCTATCCTTGTGATACCTTTCTATTTGAGTAACATGATGTGTCAGAATGCAAATTTGTACATGTTCCCATAAATAGTGAATAAGTTGAAAGTATATATACGATTTGATTAATTTTATCTGATTTATATTATTTTTTACAGATCACTTACAGTGTTCCATATGCTTTAATTTCCACGCACATTGAGCCATTGGGACTTGGCCAAGGTGGGCTTCTATTCATGGCCTTGTTTATTCTTTATTGAAGAAGTAACTGTAGAAATATTTATATGGATTGTTGGTACTTGCAGGGTTATCAATGGGTGTCCTTAATCTGGCAATAGTGATCCCGCAGGTACTTCTTTTAAATTCCTTTTATATATGATTACAGTTAAATTACCTTCATTTTGTTATTTGTTCCAACCTAGTGGGAAGCATAATCTTAATAGATTTTCATTTGAACTTGGTCAACTTCTATTTTAAATGTTATCTTGAATTGGACATAATGAGTAGTCCTGACTCGAGGTGAATAAGTGAAGCTTTATACCACTTGATAAAACTATAATTTAATAATCAAATAATTGAGGTTGAATGGATGATGTCTGTTGATACCATGGGTGGCAAGAGGTAGTAAGGTGTTGTAATCTGTGGTCCCTTACAGTGAATTTGCCTTTACTAAAACAGGAGTTTTAGGCCTCTCTCGAGAAGGAATTTTACTGAATAATATCATCAGTGCAGCATTTTTCATGTTGTGGTAAAATTGCAATTTAGTGTTGTATACCTTTGACTAAGAAACATGAACATAGGCATGGAAATTGAAAGAACAGTAAAATTGAATGTGTTTGTTAGGAAGCCACCTGTCACTAAGGTGTATTCTAGGAATGGCCGCTGGGTATTAGAATACTAGGCAAGTTCAGATCTTTGGCGGGAAAATCTATTGTAACTGCATGGTAAGTCAGAAAACATAAAAACAGATGGGGAGGGGAGTGGAGAAGGCAAGCAAATATTTTCTAGATAGTGTCTTGGGAAAGATAGTGCCTCTCGAAATCCCCTGCTATCATTTTCTTTCTTATTTTGCCGTAATTACACTATATCTATATACTAATATAAGTAGTACAATTCAATATACCATACTTTCGTGTCAAATTGTGTGTGAATAAAATCTAGTTTCTATCAACTGGTATCAGAGCCCCGGATTGGGAGCTGTGAATGGTGAACACACTATAAATGAAGGAATGAATGGAAGTGCCGGAAGTGAGGCTTGAGCAGTGGAGGGAGCTTCATGAAACTCACCAGGAAAAAAAGAGGAAGTTCAGGAAAAGATCCTGCGTCTCCTTCCAGGGTCTTTCAGGGGAACTGACTGGTGAGAAATGGAAGGGTACACAAGCCAAGGGGGACCAACGAGACCCAAGGCGTCTCAATCGAAAACGCTGGAGGAGGTATGTTTGAAACATGTCCCAAAATTACGGAAGACTATGAATGAAGGCTAGAGATTTCCGTATTATCTGGAAACAATGCATAAGGATGGATGAATTAGGTCGAACGTTATTTTCATATGAAAGCAATGCTGGAGGTGGAGTGGTTGCCAATAGTGATCCTGACGTTGTAAGGACGTGCACTGAACTGGTATTATTGGTGGGAAAGATGAATGGAAAATGCTACATGGGCCATGTTTAGAGCATCGATTATCAGACGTTTTCAACCATCCCCAGCTCAGAATCAGTATGAGGTACTTCTGAGTTTACGTCAATCGGGGATCATGAGTGATTACATGGAGGAGTTCGAGAGGATTGCAGGACCTCTTCTGTACACTTATGAGGAGATTCTCCAGGGCATATGGTTGAACAGACTCCAAGATGAGCTAGGAGCAAAATTGAAGTTACATCAGCTCAAGTCTTCGGCAGACTTGATGGATCAACCCCAGTTTCTTGTAGAAAATAATTGGAGCCCTCAACAGCTCCAAACCACCACCGGAGGTGGTGGTTTCCGATACAATGTCACTATCGAAATTCCCAAAGGGAATTATGCTATACGCACTAACTACCCCAACCATAATTTATTGAACACATAGGCAATGGAGAGCTCTAGTAGCAACATACGTGGCAGATCCCGAAGGCTTTAACAAGCTAAGTTACATGCGAAGATGAAGAAAAGATTATGTTTCAGTTGCAACAAGATGTTTCACCTAGGCTACATGATGGCTGGAAGGAGGACATGGACTATTTTAGGGTCTTGACGGGAACTGTTTTAGGTTTAGAAGTCAGGCAGGTTTAGAATGAACCATCTCTGCTACCAAATAGAAGAGGGATTTGTGAATTACTTGAGGGAATTCTCAGTACAATATTATATTTATAGATGATTTACAATCTCTAATATTAGGAAACTAGGAATCTAGGAAATTAAGGAAAAGAGCACAAACTAAATCCTAATTATTTACAGTATGTGCAGTTCCTGAATAGGAGATACTTTCCAACAAAATGCCTTAAAGATAAGTGGAATTCATTTTGCTTTAACAAATTTACTTTATTACCCTTAAAATAGGTAAAATAAGTAAATTAACGAGGGAAAAGTTGTCAATTCAAATAAATTAAAACAAAGTCAAATCAAATTCAACAAAATTTGGGTGAAATTTTACATACACATCTTAACGAAAAGGATTTCAAAATAAAATCAATTCCTATTTTATAACTAGCTTACTACCCAAACACAATTTTATTTATATATCAAATCAGTTCCCATTGTTTAATTGTTCCCAACATACTGTATGTAGTTCTAAGCTAATGATGACTTGTGTTTTCAATGAAAACTTTTTAAATAAAGATTCGTTTCTGTGAATAGGATTTGTGTTTATGAAGTTACTAGTTGCATATTTATCATGCTTTAAACAGATAGTGGTGTCCCTGGGAAGTGGACCATGGGATCAACTATTTGGTGGAGGAAATTCCCCAGCCTTTGCTGTGGCAGCTGTTGCAGCCCTTGTCAGTGGACTCATAGCTGTCTTGGCTATTCCCCGATCTGGTGCTCAAAAGGCCCGAATCCATGTATGAGGTATCATGTTCTGTCTGCTTTTGGCACTTATTTCTTTCGAAGAGGGATGGTGAAAATGAACAGGTAGCAAGAATTTGTAAAAAGTTATTTTTTATTATAGCCTTTTTCTTCTTGAGCCTTTCTCTCCTCAAGATTCCACACTCCCAATCGTTTTCTAATGAATAAATGAGTGCTTGGCTGTGTTTAATCTTATTGGTCAATATTTAAATCCAATGACCTGACTTTTGAGTCTTATTATTTTCTGGATTAAACAAAGCTTTGGGAACAATTTTTTGTGTGATCTTGATGAGTGAGTTGTCTGTTTAAAACAGTGAGATTGGTTTGCTATGTAAAACACGAGGGACATCTTCGGGCTGTAGTGAAGGGTGAACACTTTTGATGTCTAAGGAACAATGTAAAACAAGAAATTCATATATCATTACTTTTCCAAACATCTTGGAATCTCAATAAAAGCTGTCACCAAATACTGATTGACAATATGTGCAATATGTGGAGACCTTCGTCATTGTAAACCAGTCCTGCTTGTGTAGGCTAAATGCCGTGGGAAAGTAGTTGAGGCATCTTCTGTAGGTTCCAAAGTTCATCTTGGGCAATATCTTTTCCACAAGTTGAGTTGCTGCTTATTGGGAATTATTCCACACGAAAAATTCTGTTATTTTGAGGCAATTGCTGATTGTGCATTAGTGCTTTAATAATGATGTGTTGGAATCTCATGCATTTGTGTGATTTGATTGTATTAGTGGGATGAATGTATTTAGTGGCCAACTGTGAACATGTGAATTTTGCTGATGGAAACCTTGACGGAGACCGGGCTTGGCCTTTTGACCTTAATAATTTGATTTTTAAAAACTTTGACCGGAATAATTTCTTTGTCAAATGAAATACCAATATAATGCATAACGATGCGGTAGGTGAAAAATCGTATTAAGACGCGTTAGAACAAGAAACGCGTTCTTTGTATTCTGAAACCCACCATCGCGTGAGAATGAGAGCTGCAATTAATGGGCTAGGACGCGGCACACATGCAGCCGCGTATCAATATTCCCTGAAACGCGATCCACTCACTGCCGCGTTCCTAAGGCGGTTCAACAAAACAATAATTATTAACTATATATTCAAAAAGCCATTCACCAAAAATTAAGCAGCTCTCATTCTAGGGAGAGGAACAAAAAACAAAACAATGCAAATCCAGCACGATTGATATTGAGAAGAAACTCCAAAGAAACAAAACTAAGAAGAAGAAGATTATAATAATAAAAAAAGGGAAAAGTTCACCGATTTTCTGGTGGTTTGTTTCAGAATCATTTATGCTCCTATGGTTTTTTTTCTATCACATATGCTCCTGTGCTTTGTAAAAAATAAGAAACCACAGGAGTATATGTGATAAAAAACATACCCTTTTACAAATTACAGGACATATGTGATAAGAGATATAAGTAATTCTGAAGTAAATCACATGTTATTGCTGAACTTTTCTAAAAAAAAAATTCATAAGAAAGAGATCAACGCAGCAAACAGCAGAATAGCTCCAGATCTGAACTCTTCTCGGTATTGTTGTTGTTGTGGTGGTGGTGTTCCTTCTCTTTCGGTTCTGGTTCGCCGTCGTTCACAGCGGCTATTTTGTTCTCCGGCGAACTTTTGCGACAACCGATGCCTGAGGTTCAATTCGAATATGTGAGAGAGAGCTTGAACTTAAATGGAGAACTCATCGACCAGTGATCGGTGGAGAAATCAGGGAATATAATAATAAATAATAATTACAAACCGAAAAAGAAAACTATAAATACTATTCCTATATGTTTTCCTCTCTTTTTTTCTGCTTCATGCTCCAAAGCATCGTTTTACTTCAGACAGGGGCTACGCTTGTGGACTGCCATAGGCTCTAAAGCATCGTTTTCCTCTCTTTTTTTCTGCTTCAAGCTCCAAATTGAAAAAGACGCTTGTGGACTGCAGGCTGATGAGACGCGTTCGGACAGGGGCCGCGTTAGGTCCCATCTGACACCATTGATACGCGGCTGCATCTATGCCGCGTCCTAGCCCATTAATTGCATCTCTCATTCTTAGGCGATGGTGGGTTTCAAAATACAAAGAACGCGATCCTTGTTCTAACGCGTCTTAATACGATTTCTTACCTACCGCGTCGTTATGCATTATATTGATATTTCATTTGATCAAGAAATTATTCCGGTCAAAGTTTCTAAAAATCAAATTACTAAGGTCAAAAGGCCACCGGGCTTTGATGCTCCTTATTTTGGTATGGTATTTTTTCTTTAAAAATATAATTCTTGAACGACAGCTTTGATTAATTGTGGTCATTTAATGTTTACGTTTAATTTGTAGGTCTTGTTATGCAGTCCCTTAAAACTTAAAAAGGCATTGTTTAATTAGCATTTAATTCTTTTCATTAGATCTTTTTAATTACTTAAAGAATAAAATATTAAATGCTTTTCTGAGTTCTCTAGATTAAATGCCTTTACTTTTTATCTAATATTTTCACTTTGAATTTATTAATTAGTGCCGTGGGACAAATTCCTTAATTTATTTTGCTGCTTTTGAACCATGGAATAACTCGTGTTTAAATACCCCTCTCACTGTTCACGAAAGTCTGATTCCCTGATTTGCTCTCAATTCTTTCGCACAATGCCTTTTACTTGGACACTTTTACTCTCCCATTCTTTTACGTACGTTACCCCTCTGTCATTTTGATTGATTATCAAATTTATTTAATTAATAATCTGCTCTTAATTAACTAAGGGATTTTTGACAGGAATTATTATTAATTATAGATAGCTAAGTCTTTAATTATAAATTAGTTTGATTAATAACGTGATATGTTGAAAGTGCGTAACTGTAGCATTATTTGACTTTTTTTCGTCCGGTTAGCATACTAAAATTAAAATGCATTTTTTTTCTGATATTTTTATAAATGATTACATAAGGCGCCCTAAATGATTACTCAAGGCGCCTTGTGGTGGAATTCAGTAATGTTACGTCCGCAGTTACTCGTTAAACCAAAACAAACGGAAGTACTGGAGAGAAATGAAGAGGGTGACGATGGGGTTTTGGTAGAAGAGTTGCCCCTCTGACGTGTTCTTACACAACAATTCACCAATCTATGACGGAGGAAAAGTTTTGGTTGGAGGGATACAAGTATGGAATCTGTTCGATCTTCTAGAGAAGCATAATCTTTACTGATGTCAAAATTAAACTATAATTTGTCTTGTCACTCTTTTTCTGAAGCCTGCGTTGTTTAATTGTCATATCTATAAAATTCTGTCTGATCTCCACTAAGCCAACTTGTCTTAATATGTCTTTCTGATTGATGACAGTACATTTGTATGCCATAATCGCATGATCCTAAGCTTGTGTCTCTTTCAATTTATTAAATCCTTTGGGTGGGAGGGATCTAGAACTTAGGCATTGCCCTTGCCCAATCAGGAACCCAATTTCGAAATGGGTTTCCTAGTCATGTTCATGGACCTTTGGATGAGACCGGTTTTTATTTCCTATTTTCAGTACTGTTGCTTTATTGATTAATTTCTAAGCATTGGTTCCCCTCCATGATACATGTCTTTCATTCCCAACAACTGGTTGAGCTACAAAACATGGAATCTGACTTGGAATATCATGGGTTTCAGAGAAGTTTGAATATGTCGTCCTATATTATACAGTGAAACACAAGATAGAAACAGCAATAAAGTTGTTTCTTTGTAATTAAAAGGTCAGGTTTCTAATTGCAGGAAACATTTTTTTTTTTAAATATGTAAGGATAAACTTATGTATTGTCGTATTCTTTGTAGTCAGGACTCGAGATTTATCGGGGATTGATTTATATTATACAGTGAAACAAAATGAAATTGCTAGGTAGAGTAGTAGTTCGCACTGTAAGACAAAGGAAAGAGAAAGTTTATCTAATGTGTATGCTTGGGTTAATGATAATTGAGCAGAGATGCTTCTGTTACCGCATAGATAATGCCAATGCTCTCCTATACACAGACAGATTAATAACCTTTATGATACAGATTAAGTGGTTGTGGTTGGAGCTTATAATTCTCTCTCCAATTTTTCTCAGCTTCCATCTGTCTCTTCTGCATACACCACCCACCATCATTCCCCAGTTACGCCAATGGTGGTCCCATCCATGACACTAACACCCGCGTCTATATTAATTTATATACATATATAGATATCATTGAAGACAACCTCTACAACAGGGAAAGTGTTAAAAAGGTGTAATATAATATCCTCTCAGCTGCAACTGAAACATAATACAAGCTCACTTGCTATACTATATCGATTAGAAATCGTTTTAACGATTTCATTTCTCCTCTATTGGTTAACACCTAGACATTAGTCTAGCGGACCTATTTATCTATACTTCATTGCTCAATTTGCCTGCTCGTGATCGAACATTCAACGAGCAATAATGAAAGAGCATCAGAACAAGAGGCACAGAACTATGGGGCCCAAAATTGGATCTTAGTGAAAACTTGCCATCTTTTGAACTAGGCATAGTGGTCGTGGTCCATGGAAATGTTTTTAGCCTTTGGCTGTTCCAGATGGGGCTCTCTATATATAGACAGTCTAGACAGCAGAAATTGGGTTCGGAGTGGGTTTTTATGAAACGGGTTGGGGAAGAACGGAACATGCATGGCTTGGCTGATGCTTTAAAGAACATGCAATGCAAAACTTTTGAATTCCTACAAAAGAAGAAGAAGAAGAAGAAATCAGCACCTCCTGTCGAAAACAAAAAAAACCACGTTGTATTTTGGGTACCTGAAATTTTTTAATTTAGTACAAATACCAACTACGTAAGTTTCAATGTATGCCCTGGTCATTTAAAAACTCAAGTATTTCATGCTATGCGAAGCAACGATAAATGAAAAAAAGACAATAATAATAATGATAATAATTGACTGTATAATAAAATAATGTATTTAATTAAATATATTATCATATTATTTAAAAAGTTAACCTGTGATAATAAGTTACTGAAAAAATATTTTTCTTTAATTAAGTGCTAACACATGATATGATAATAGAATAAAAAAAAAATTAATAACTGCAGTTGATAAACAATGAACTGCTAGTACTACTAACAACAATTGAGTTGATTTCACACGTAAGGAAATTGGCTTCTCCACCGGGCTACCACTTCCACTAACAATTCCCAATTTCAGGATAAATTTTTTTATTTTCCATTCATAAAACTCAAAACATGGTGTTTGAAAAGATTATCTACTTCCATTAACAAGCAAGCTAGTTAAAACCACTATTTAGTGCCGTCAATATCAGAGCAAACCTGTCTTCGTTTTGACGGCTAAAAAAATCATTAAAGGGAATAAATGCATTCATTCTTTTTTGGAGTTTCACCATCCTAAAGATAAGTTTGGACTTATTTCCTCTCCACACTCAAAGGTAAAGAAAGCTTTATTTTAGCCGATATTTCTTCAGATGCCATACTCTAATTGTTTTTCTTGTTCTAATAAACAAATCATTAGGATATCACCATATACTTAAATAGATAGATAGAAAGTGAATAAGGTCGGTTTTCCCAACACCTCCACAAGCATTTCTTTCGTTCAAGTTTGATCTTTCTTTGACATCTTTTTTCTTTTTAAATAATAATAAATTGGCCCTTTTCATTGATAAAAATTTCAGCATTTCCATCTCTCAAAGACACGTTTCAAAAGGGACCCAAGCCTTTCATGCATAAATAAACCCACTCCCCTTCATCCTCTTCTCCCCATACACAAAACCTTGTTATCCATTTCTCCTTCAAACAAGGCACACGGTCACTCGGGCTAAGACAGAAGAGCATCGTATATTTTCCTACCTTTGTTATATATACATACAAACTCTCTTGAACTCTTCTTTATATCCATATATTACAGTTTCAGTTTTGTACCAAGTCATGTGTAATCCCAAGCCGTCTTCAGCATCCCCATTTCTGTGTCCCACAAAAACTTACCCCAAAGTTTTGGATCCTACCCCTGATGATCAAGTTCAAGATGAACTACAGAGATGGCCTACTCCTAATGAGGTAATGAAGCAGAACCTAACTAATAAAATAAATCAACAAATACCATATTTATTTATTTTGTGAAAGTAAATGAAATGAAGTAACAAGTTACTATCCCCTCTATTGTAAAACAAAAAAATAATAATGTCAGCTTATAATTAACATACATACCCATTGATATTAGCTAATTGTCTTTTTGTCTTTCTGCATTCAGGCCTTGGAAGAAATGAAAGCCATATGGAAGATATCAGGTCCAACAGCCATCACTGGTATACTCATATATTCAAGAGCTATGATCTCTATGATTTTCCTTGGCTATCTCGGCGAGATGGAACTAGCAGGAGGCTCTCTCTCTATTGGTTTTGCCAACATCACTGGCTACTCTGTGATCTCTGGATTAGCCATGGGGATGGAACCCATTTGTGGACAAGCTTATGGAGCAAAACAATGGAAGCTTCTTGGCTTGACACTTCAAAGAACTGTACTCTTACTCCTCTCTACATCAATCCCCATCTCATTTATGTGGCTTAACATGAAGAGAATCCTCTTATGGTGTGGTCAAGACCAAGAAATATCATCAAAGGCTCAAACTTTCATCCTCTTCTCCATACCAGACCTTTTCTTTCTTTCACTTCTCCACCCTCTGAGAATCTACCTCAGGACTCAAAGCATCACATTGCCATTAACATATTGCTCAGCTATCTCTGTTCTGCTCCACGTCCCTTTGAATTTCCTTCTAGTGGTTCATCTAAAGATGGGTATTGAAGGGGTGGCCATAGCAATGGTATTGACTAACCTCAACCTCATTCTCTTCCTCTCCTCCTTTGTCTACTTCTCGGGTGCATACAAGGACTCATGGGTTTCACCAAGCATAGACTGCATCAAAGGGTGGTCTTCATTGCTTGCACTTGCGGTTCCAACTTGTGTTTCAGTTTGCCTTGAGTGGTGGTGGTACGAGTTCATGATAATGCTTTGTGGACTTTTGGTCAATCCGAAAGCGACCATTGCTTCAATGGGAATCCTTATCCAAACAACATCTTTAGTCTATGTGTTCCCATCATCATTGAGCCTTGGTGTTTCCACAAGAGTGGGGAACGAGTTAGGTGCAAACCGTCCTGGAAAAGCACGCATTTCCATGATAGTGTCACTGTTCTGTGCTGTCGTTTTAGGCCTTGCAGCTATGCTATTTACCACCTTGATGAGGCACCAATGGGGTAGGTTCTTCACCAATGACCATGAGATTCTAGAGCTTACAGCCATAGTGTTGCCAATTGCTGGGCTTTGTGAGCTTGGGAACTGCCCACAAACCACTGGTTGTGGAGTTCTAAGAGGTAGTGCAAGACCAACCATTGGAGCAAACATCAATTTGGGCTCATTTTACTTGGTGGGTATGCCAGTGGCTATCCTTCTGGGGTTTGTGGCCAAAATGGGATTTGCAGGGCTGTGGCTTGGGTTGCTTGCAGCCCAAGCAGCATGTGCTGTGCTCATGTTGCTTGTTCTCTGCAGAACAGACTGGAATGTGCAAGTAGAAAGAGCCAAAGAGCTCACAAAAACCTCAACTATAACCACCACTTCTTCTTCTTCTACTGATGCTAAATTACCTACATTCACAAAAGCAGAGGCTAACAAGAACAAGAATGCTCATGCTTGTCTTGAAGAGATAGTTATCACTGATGATGATGAGGTTACCAAGACATGTTCACTTGAAAAAGATCCACTGATCATACGCACTGCCAAATAAAATGTAGATTAGTTAACCATAGTTTTTCTTCCCCTCATTTTTTTTCTTTACCTTCATTTATTGGATGGTACTAAAAAATCACTCCCCGTTATACTCGACTAGCGAGTGTGGGGTGGAGGAAATCCTTGTACGCAGCCTTACCCTTACATAATTGCAAAGAAACTATTTTCTGGATTCGAATCCATGACCTTTCAGTCATGAAGGAATAGTTTTACTACTGCTCCGGTTCACCCCTTATTTATTGGATGGTACTGTAGAATAAAAAAAATCAACCCCCCCTTGGCCCTCCCTTTTTAGCCCCTTGATTATGTCTCTTCTTTTCTTCAGATTGTACTATTAATAATAGCCATTGAGAAAGAAAAAGAGAACAGAATGCTTTTTAAATTACTTCTCCATAGGGACATTCAGAGTAAGAGAAGATGTGGGTGGGGGAAGGGGAAAAGGGGGTTTCTACTTTCTACCTCACTTTGGTATTTGATCCCTTCCATAAAAGACCAAAAAACTTGACAACCTAAAATTGGAAAATAAACCTCTAGTACCATTAAAACCTGGCCCAACTCCCTTGTAATATAAATTATTTGAGCATCCTATTCTTCTTTTTCTTCTTGTTCTCCCCTTCTCTCTATTTTCCTTTATAACAATAAAGCAAATGAAATTATATAATATTTCAACTATGCAGGAACAATATCGTATCCTAACCTTTCCCAAGCATATAACATGTGAAAAAGCATTATATTTACCAAAATGTTATCCTTTTGTAATTCTAATTATAGTTTTCCATGGCACAATGCACACACAGTAGTGGATGAGGTTATGACAATGGCAATGAAAATGGTTAGATAGATATGTTCCTTTAATGCTCTATTCCATAGATATGTTCCTTTAATGCTCTATTCCACAGACATGTTCCCTTTAATGCTCTTTTCCGTGGACATAAAAGTGTCTGTACGATAAGTAAAGAAAGACTGAGCCTGAAAACAAACAGATACAGACAAATGCACACACAAACAGAGAGGGGTATCAGCACAGAGAAAGGAGTGAAGAATGATAACAATAATTGGCAGTAGAGAAGTGTCTAAGAAGAAGGGTATTTGAGGGGGGCCATGTTTTGAACTGCAGATTATAGAAATCCATCTATTATTGCCTCTGTCTACTTCTCAGATGGCAACAAAATTGTAGCAGTGCCTCTGCGTGACCACTTGCCCTACACTTTAAGAGGCTACCCTCCTATTTCTTTTTCTCTGAAACTACCACCAAACACCCCGGAACAGTGATTAAAGTATTTGACAAATTTTTTATCCAAATGTCACGCGAACAATATTTTTTATCAGATTGTCACCCGACATAATTCGCTACAACTAGTAGCCTCGTAACGAATTATGTTTGCCAATGATTTTGTGACACATAACCACACATTTCGTACCAAATTCTCTATCACTAGTAACGAATTATGTCCCGTCAATTTTTTTCTGTGAAAATGTGTCACGTGTTATAAAATTATTGGCGAACGTAATTCGTTACCAGTCGTAACAAATTACATCGCGTGATAGTCTAATAAAAAGTACTGTTGAGATGACATTTGAATAAAAAATTCGTGAACGATACTTTGATGGATGTCCCAAACACCACTTCAAGTGACTATTATGAAAACATTAAAAAAAAAAGTACTTTTTTTTTCCTTTTAATTTACCTAACTCTTCCTGTGTACATTTTCTCCTACAAGATGTGGTGAAGGGCCCATCTTATTTGCAGTTTAGAGTGGAACACGTAAGGCAAAGTTTTGTCCTATTCTCCTTTCTTTTCTCTCTATCTAGTTCTTGAAGCCACTTCTCATCTCACCTTGTCTTCTATTTTTCCAACTTGTATCAATAATATCTCTATCTTGCATTACTCCACATTTTTATGCAATTGCGGCAAAGAAATTTTATAATGGGTGGTACAGCATCACCATTTCCTAGATTTCGTAGTGGGTGTGCAATATTTTTGGTTCACAAAATGTTGTTATATTTGGTAATGACCATTTGCACAATCTTATGTAAGATACAACAACTTGCACCCTTTTCAGTACTAAAATGCAATATTCCATCCACGTTTAAAAAAGATTGATTCTTAAGAAATACTTTTTTTTAAGTTCTTTCACAAAATTATTAACAAAAGTATCTTTAAACTTGGGAATAGTATGGACGTGGGTGGGACTATGTGAGAAGAGGAGAGGAGAGAAAAAGAGAAAAGTGAGTCTGATTTATTTTTTTTGAAAAGTGTGTATCAATTTAAAGAATCTAAAGTTGTGTCATTTTGAGTAAGAGAAAGAGATAGATAAAGAAGAAGAGAGTGGACAAAAAAATATAAAGACGTGAGTCACACCTCTTTGTGAGAGTAAAAAGATATAAATTGTGTCATTTAAAAAGATAAACATTTTTTCCTTCTTTTTTATATAAATGTAAGAGATAAAATTATCTATGCAAGAAAAATATTAATTCCTTAAACTAAACTAACTTTTTTTAATATCTCCGTAAATTTATCTATACGGTTTGAGTAATGTAGAACCACAAAAATGACAAAGTTTTTCTACCAAATTTTTATTACAGTTACATATTCAAGGTTGGACTCGAAACGCTCGGTGGTTTATCAAAAATAATTCTAACACGTACTTAATTTGATAGTTAAAAAGTATGCAGATTTCTTATTTTTCTAGTGTAATTTGATTTAGAAAAAAGTAAATAGCATTTCTTAATTTAAACAGTTAATTTAACGAAAATATAATAATACTTGAGCGAACTTATTTTTCAATGAAGAAAATGCAGAGATGCTCGAGTTTGTACCTCTCACTATTGATTTATAACATAAAAAGTGTGTGCGGTGTTTTAATTTTCTTTTTTTTAATAAATTTTCACAGACTCTAACAGCTCAGGGGACACAGCGCCGCACAGCACAACCCTTCATATATTTCTTTAAAGATTTTAACAGTATTAACTTATCTTAACCATTTAAAAATAGTTACAAGTGTATTAGTATGTTATCCAATACGAGGATGTAAAGAGTTCGTATGGATATTTACAACGTGAAAGTGTCGTTATAATTGACGACAATAATGTAAACAATTTACAGTACCAAGATTTGTGTAATGTGGATGGCTATTAATTAATGTTAAGACCGTTGTTATTGTAGATTTATAAAACTCGAAGCTGTTGTAATTCCCATCATACGCCTAATGATTTTTTAATTTCTTGAAGTATACATGAAACCATGGCCTCGTAGGTAGAATTATGTCATCATAATATCATTAAATATATATAAAATTATTAATATAACACTCTCCTTATTAAGATTTTTTATCAAAATAATCTTTTACATTATATCAAAACTTCCCTGATCAAATAGTCAAAAGTTCAATTATTATCGTCTCCATTTTATTATTATTGTCGGTGGAGCCACTCCAGCTACACCAGCTAATTTTTTAAAAAATGGTACATATTTTCTTCAAAAATTATAGCATAATCTTAATTATTATTGGTTAAATTTTTAAAAATAATATAACCTTGACACTGGTTGAATTCTTCCTGATAAATATTTTGCCATTGGGTGGATTTTCTTCTGTCTTTGCCACTGACTGTTGACTCTTTAAGAATTCAATCATAACCGCTAGATTTCATCCCACCCCATTTTATTATTATGTCCACCCTTTAAATTTAATAAGTTTTTATGTGAGTGACGTATTCAAGACGAGTTTTATAAGAGTGATGTTGTAGGAAAAATAATTGTGTAATGTTATAGAGATTCGTTTTACGTGCCGTAGTTTTTTTTTTTGTTTTGTTTCAAAAAATATTAGCCCCACAAAATATTGTGTATGTAAGAAACTTTTTTGTGTCATGTAAAATGACAGATGCAAACTCCATTCAAGAAATATAATATAAATATAATATATAATTATTAATATATCATTCAGTTAATAATTTAAAATTTTAAATTGAGATGATTCTTTACAAATTGAATATTCGAATTAAGATGACAACGGAGGAAAAGGGTATAGAACTGTAACTGTTATAGCCTTATAGGGTAGGTTGTATCTTTATCGGGCCTATTTGGAACTAACAATGTTGAGGTTAAAATATTAACTTAAAGTGAATGATAACCATGAGCTTATTTAGAGTTCGTTCGTTTCAATTTTTAGAAAAAATAATTTTTATCACTTCTTTATTTTAAAAGTATTTTTTACAAAAGTTAAAGTTATTTATATTTTTATAAAAATATTTAGTTTTGAAAACAATATTTGACTTTTGACTTCTGTTTTTTTTTTTGAAGTTAAAATTTTTAGCTTCTGAAAAAAGTAAGTTTTTAGTTTTTTTTGTGACTTCTCCTTTTTTAAAAGCAGACATCCAAACGAACTAAAAATGAGAAGTGCTTTTTTCATGGAAAAAAAACAACTTTTAAAGAAAAAAAATTCATCCAAACGGACCCTTAGTATCTGTGTGGAAGGTTTTATTTTCATCTTTTTTTAGACCAAACAAAATTTTACAAAAACTGTTATAATCAATTTTTTTATATATATAATGAAGAAAAAAGTCAAAAATTCTTAGGCGGAGCTTTTTTTAAGTTGTATCAGTATTTTTTGAAATGTTTGTTTTTTTAAATAAACAATGTTTAAGTAATTTTTAAAGGGAAAAATGTTTCTGCAGTTAATGCAGATAAGTTATCGGCATTTATTCCCAAAACGACGTCGTTTTGGTATTGAACTCTTAAAAAATTATAAATATAAAGACTATTATAACCTTGAAATAAATTAAAATTACAAAAACACCATGATCTCTGCCCAAAACGACGTCGTATTGGCTTACTGCAGATAACTTATCTGCAGTAACTGTAGAAAAAACGAACCCATTTTAAACTAAAAAATTTATATCATCATCAAATAATTTATAGCTTTATTTTTAAATCTCTTTTTTTAATTTTAGTTTAAAAATAGTTTTTAACTTTAAAAAAATATATCAAATAAACTCTTAGCCTAAGAGTAGGATAAAATATAGCTTATCTCACAATCTCCCTTATTTAGAAACTTTGTTGAATATGAGGAATGGATGCTCCTATGTGACATGAGGTCATATAAAAAGTTATCAGCCATCCAAAATGCAAATTAATAATGTTGAGAGAATGTAAATAAATAAAGGATAAGAAAATGAAAAATTTGATCTGTATTTGAATGATTGAGATCCTTTTACATGGCCTCTTGTCACATGAAATGACTCACTCCCTTGACTAAATTTGTCTCAGAGCAATTCTAAAAAAATTTATTCAGT